CCCCGGGGGCGGCCCGGACCCACCGATCGCCCCCCCCGCGCCTGCTGCTGCTGCTGCTGCTGGGTCCTAGCGAGACACCCGCCATCCGCGCTGCGCTGCGCCCCTGCGCCTGGCTCTGCCCCGCTCACAGACCCCTCGGGAGCAGCCAGACTGGGGGGGATGTTTGGTGGCCGCAGAGTGGGGCAGCCCCGCCCGCTGGGGCCGCTCGGAGACTTTTTATTAATTATGTGAGTTACTTTAGAACAGACCCATAAATACGCCCAGAGGAAAGTGGGTCAGGGTCCCTCTGTTGTGGGGAACTGTCTTGCCTCATGCTCTAACCCGGTAGTAACTTTAGAACAGACCCATAAATACTCCCGGAGGAAAGTGGGGGGCAGGGTCCCTCTGTTGTGGGGAACTGTCTTGCCTCATGCTCTAACCCGGTGGAATTGGTTTGCAGAGGGATCTGAGTCCTCTCCCCTTGTCCCTTCATCCAGTGCCTGCCTGACTTTGAGGACGCCACTTCCACAGTAATCCCAGAAAGGCTGGGCCCGGGATTTTTGTGGGGCTCAACCCCCCCAGACTTGGCATCAGTCAGGACAGAGGCGAGGGTGTCCCCACTCCGTGGTCCTGTCCCCGTTCCAGCCTCTTTCCTGCCCATTGCAGAACAAGTACAATATATGAAATAGCAAATAATGAAAACAAAATAAAGAAAAAATGGGGAAGGTGAAAGGAGGGAGAGGACAAGGGAGACTCACAAACAGCTGTCTCTGCAGTGTAAGGGGATGTCAGACGGAAGAACAGCCGTACTGGGTCAGACCAACCAATACTGCTGCAGCCTGGAAGCCCCTCCTGCACCCCAATTCCCTCCTAGAGCATGCACCCCTCACCTCTTCCTCCTCCCAAACCCCTCAGCCCACCACAGAACCCATGCTCCATGCCACAGCTCAGTGAAAAGGATTGAGGGTGGGGGAGAGGAAATGATGGGGAGGGAGGGCTGGGGTAGGCGGAGCCTCAGAGAAGGGGCAGGACCTCCAGAAAGGGGCGGGGTAGATCCTGGATTACCCTGAAATTTAAAAAGTGATCTCAGGCATCAAAGAGGTCAGAGAGAAAAGAGATTTTCTCAGCCAAAGAACCATTGAACATCAGGCTCAGGGTCTTCATATTCATAAAATGCCACTTGCTCTTCATAGTCCATGTAAACCAGAGGTGGGGAACCTCAGGGCAGGGGCCGGATGCGGCCCCTGGCTTGCCTGGATCTGGCCTCTGGGCTCCCCTCAACCCCCCCTCCCCCGGCATGGGGGAGCCCACGCTGGCACTCCAGCCCCACAGCCCAGCCCAACTGCCCCCGTGGTTCACAGGCTGGAGTCAGGCAAACCGGAGCCAGAACCAACCCACAGGCTCTGCTTGGTGGGGGAGGAAGCGGGTTCATGCACAGCCACCTCC